CCGTCTCTCGCGAGGAGCCTTGCCCTAACCCGCCGGCCGCAGGCAACGACTGTGCTGGCGTCGCTGGCATCCTGCATGCCAATGCTTTGAGGTCACCCTCGAATGCGGGAAGCCTGTTGCCGCAGAGGCAGCTACAGCTGGAGAGCCTCTGGGAGAAGGGACCCGAGGGGCGGCTACTTTCCCGCTGCGCCTCTTCCTCTGCGTAGCTTGTCCGGGCACCCGATGCTGCTGCTTCCGCTCCTGCCCTTCGTTTGGGCCCCCGCGCTGGCCCGTCTCTGGGAGGTAAGCGCATCCCTCATCTGAGGTCCTTCCTGGCGGAGCGGGTGGGCTTCTCCGGGTGGGGCGGGGTAAGCAGCGGCAGGGAATTAATGTGTGGCCAAACAAACGAGGCAAATGGGCACGTGCAGCACTAAGACGTTGTGAACCCGGTTAAATGCGTGTGTAAATGCAACCGCTGCGGCTAACGCAAGGCTGCAAAAAGAGACGGAAGGCAATCTGGACTCAAGTTCCTAATCAAACCTTCCCCAACATGGTGCCCTCCAAAGGATTGGGTAGCCATATCCATTAGTCCAGCTGGCCCAGTTGCTGACCATTCTGGATGGGGGGAGTGAGAGCGGCAGTCCACCAACCTCTAGAAAACATCAGAGGTTGTATTTTTTTCACTTTTATGTTAAAGCATGTTTATGTATTTTTTCCTTGTTTTTGTAATTAAAAAATAATAATTAAAAATTAATTTTTAAAAAACCTCTAGAAAGCACCAGACTGAAGGGAGCTGGTATAATGTTCTCCCTTACCTTTGCTCACAATTTTCTTCATAAAACTTGGCTTTTCTGACTCAAAGGTTCACAGAACTGCTGTATCATAAAGTGATGTGTATGGTCTGAATTGAAAACTGTGGTTTATAACTTAGCATGCTGTAATGTGTGAGCACATTTTGGTCAAAACTATGGTGAGCTGCTTGCTGAATTTTGGGAAAATACTGCAAGGAGTTACATTATTACACTTTACAACCTAGCATTCTTATCTCATCTGAGAATTGTCTTGCCTCCCTGTGTGGATTTATTAATGTTTCTGCCTGAAGCTGATGAACTGCAAACAAACAGAGGTACAGCTCTGTAACTTGGTTCCAGGGAGGACCTCTCATACAGTTTCCTTTTGGGGTAAACACCCTTATGCAGAGTGCAAGAAAAGAGTAAGACAAAGACATTATAGGAATGAGATTGCAAAAGAAAAGAAAGCATAACAGAAAGTATTTTATACCAATACTATTTCCTACCTCTCTACATTTTTCTATTTTTAGAAATCATCCTTGCTTCTGTCCCATCAATACAATATTTTATACAGTGTTGTTTTTCTTTAAGCTTCTCGCCTCTCTGTTTTTGAGGATCTCATCAGCTTCATCTAAATGTGACTTTCTTGGTTTTCTTCTTTCTCTCAACCCACTCATTTTTCCTTCATATATTTGCTTTGCAGTTCAGTCGTCATTCCCTCTCTATATATGACCAAACCATTTCAATACTTCTTTCACACTGGCCACTTACTTTTGTATTCAATCCATAGCCATTTAGCATTCATTCCTGATACTATTTCTTCTTGTTTTACCACATACACTAGTCCCCCATTCCTGCTGCATTTAATTTATTTTTATGTAGCTTCTAACATACCCAGTTCTCACTTCCGTATATCAAAATAGCAAAAGCACACTCTTAAACACAATTTTCACTTCTTCAACAAATTCCTCATAACAGACCACATACTACCAATTGCCTTTCTACCATTATTTGGACATGTTACAATGTCTCCATCCATTTTCCTTTGTTAGTTAAATGTTCTACCAAGGTACACAAATTCATCTGCTTTCTCTAGTTTATACAATTAATGTATAACTTGCAATCATTCACTCCATTTTCCTTGTGAAATATAACTACCTTAGTCTTTGATGCATTACTTTTCAGACCCATAATCCTTATTGTATCATTCAGTGCATATGAACACTCTCTGCAAATTATTTAGATTCTCAGCCAACAGCATGGCATGAGAGAGCCAGTTTGGTCTAGTGGTTGAGGCATCAGGCTAGAAAGCAGGAGACTGTGAGCTCTAATCCCGCCTTAGGCATGAAAGCTGGCTGGGTGACTTTGGGCCAGTCACTTTCTCTCAGCCCAACTCACCTCACAGGGTTGTTCTTGTGAGGAAAATAGGAGGAAGGAGTATTGGATATGTTTGCTGCTTTAAGTTATTTATAAAAAATAATAAAGGTGGGATAAAAAAATCTATATATGTGTTTGTGTGCGCATTTACTTCCTTAGCCAACATACTTCTATAGTCAACCTATGGATTCCTACTTTCTTATGTACTCACAGCCTGACACAAGTTCATTCTTCCTAGCATACATTTTAGTCCTTTCATTCATATTTAAATCTACACTTTCACTTCCCTGCATCTATTCATCATATCTAATCCATAAGATCAGGCCACCTTTATTAGGATCTGTTATAACCTTCCCCTTTCTCTTAGTTTCACAGACATACAACCTTCCTTCATTTCATTTTCCATACTTTTTATCATTTACTTCTCTCACATTCCAAGGAGCAATCTTCCATGTGCAATGGTCATAACTATACAACCCGTAGATATTGACTTCTGCCCCAATCATGTTTTTGGTCAACCAATCCTTTAGCATAATAATTTTTAGTAAAATAGTATAAACTAGATTACCAGCTTAAATCATGCCTCTGCATCATGCAGCATTCCTTGTTAATAATGGTAAGGGCATATTTGGCACAATTTGGCCAGTAGGTGGAACGATATTGTTGGAGCCATGGTTGAATATAGAAATCAGTTATACATATGTACAGTATGTGAGTTTCCTTGTCATTGTTTAAAAGCAAAAGCAAGTTCAGAAGGCTGCAGATATTGCAGGCATTGCATTTAATCCTGGCTTGTCCCTATGTTCTCCTCTCAGACCCAGCCCTTTCCTGGGCACCGAACAAACTGTATGCAGGGGGGCCCCTACAGCTGTGGTATAATAACTTGACCTCTGATCCAAAGGAGCACCACCGAACAACCTGCAGCACACTGTAGAACGAAGCAAATGTGGTTCCATTGAACAAGAAACAGGATCTAGCTGGACATACTGATAAGTTTGGTTTCCAGGAAAGCACAACTTGGATGCTGGTGACCAGATCTTGGCACTGTGTGATCAGCTTAGCTAGAGTCAAAAGAATGAAAATGGCTTTCTACTAAGAAGGAAGCAGCATCTCTCCTTTAAATAGCTCTGTGACTAAGGAGATGCTCAACAGAATACTTCCTGATCAGCAAAGGGTGATACTAGCCTGTGAGATTTTCTGTTCAACCCAAAATGTGAGGCAGGCATAATTTTAACTGATAGCTGCAGGCTGTACTGTAGGTACTGACCGTACAGGAATCTATGCTGTCTGAAACAGCAAACCAAGTTTCATAGGCAAGTAGAGACAAAAGAGAAAAATGTGCAGCTCTCTTGCATAAACCTTGTGCAGTTTGGTATCACACATTTTCCCCTCTTTGTTACGTGCTAGTGTTATCCATTTCCTGAAGAACTCTGTAATGCGGATGAGACATCAGAATGCCATGGAACTCTCCATTATAAGATGTTCAGAGTCCAGCCAGGAACTGGCAATATTTTACATTAGATATGGAGAAAGTCGTAATGGGGAAAGGGTCTCATTAAGTTAGAAATCTCTCACCGCAGTACAGATGCAGTTTTGATGGTGTGAGGTTTCCTTCATCAAGAGGCCTTTGAGGATTTCTCATTGTTTGTATTTTATTTACTTTTAGCCACCCTTAAATGATGAAATTGAGTAGAAAGATAGGAAATAATCATATGTATTCTAATCACATAGGATGACAGATGCAATCAAACAGAATGGCAAAAACCTTCAGGTGGAGAAGGGGTATCAGATGAGAAAGGTAAGGCCTTTTTATGCATCATCCCTGGGAATTCCCAGATCGAACATTTCAGGAATAATCACTTGTACTGTGGGCCATCAAAATTATAATGTGTCCACACATTTTTAAAGCTATAATCATTTCCCTGAAGACAGCTCCAAGGAAGAATGACAGAGAGATTGAAGGGTGTCAGCAAAAGGTGGAAAGGTTTTTCCCGTCTTTCTTGCCTTAATTTCCAAGAGAGGAGGGGAGGAATGGGCTTGACTTGGGGAATGTAAGATTTCCTCTCCTTCCATTCTGTTCAGTGTTCAAGTTCACCTGGCTTTCTATGGAACCAAACTGTATGAGAACCTAAGTTTGAAAAAATTCTCTTAAACCAAAGATTTGCAAACAGTGTAGTTGCAAAATATGCTAGCCTATGATTAACTGAACTGTGGTTTACTGAATTAATCTAATTGCCTGGGTTTACACAACAGACTGAGGCCTAAATTAAATACAGAGGCTGGATTCACACAACATATATAAACCATAGCTGTCTAGTTTGAGATACATTGTGTCATGCAGATATAGTCAAAATGATCCTGGCATTGGATTACATCAAATGGCAAGTTTGTGCTTGTGGAATGTATTTATGCCTGTTGGCCTAAAGCAAACCATGGGATTTCCTCCAGTTCCCCATACTGACAGTAGTTTTCTGTGCAATATCACACATTGCTTTGATTCACACATGTTATGTCTTCCTTTTTTTAAAGGGCACTTTAGAATTTTGAGAGCATGTTATAAATAATCCCAATAAATGGTTGCCACTATGGGTACGTCCAGTCACAAAACTATAGTTGGGATTGCTTCCCACTCGTCCTGTAGCCTTTCAGGATGTTCTCTACCATTTTAGGTTATTTTTTTTTTCCTAGGCAGGTGGTGAGTTTCAAAACAAAGCACTGGGCCTCAGTCACTCACAATTATTTTCTAGAAATGCCTCTGGGGTCTATGGGGGTCCCAAAGGCTTTACTGGAAATATAGGTTATGCTTAAAGTTTGTGCTTTCCTTTGTAGTACATAAGCTTCCTACTTCATTTTAATTTTTTTTTTTTTTTAAGTTAGGTGAGGCACAAAAGAAGGTGTTCATGGGCTGTGCACACTGGTACCACATTGTAGATACACACATTGGGTCACTAATTACAGGTTACAGATCACAATGTCTGGTTTTGCAGACTATATTAAGCCAAAATCAAATATACCATAATAGGATTTAGGGCAATCTGTGACTGTAGCCAGTTTCAGAGAGTCTTCCAGCCCTCAGGATCAGCTTTTCTAGAAGCATGCTGTGCTCCAGTGGATAGAGTAGTTCGGCAAACACTGGGTGCTCCACTCTGAACAAACAAAAATATAATTTGCTGCGCTAAGATGCCATTGGATACATCCCATATTGTGTGTGTGTTGGAGAGGAGCAATAGCAGGCCCCTCATTTAAAAACTTGAGTTAATTCTTTCTTTTCCAATATCAAATGAAATCAAATTCTATTAAAACACAGATTGCAGAGCTGACATTTTCTTGAGTTTTTTGTCAGTATTAATTAAATCAGGCTGCATGCTTGCTCAACCATTAATTGTAGCATGCAAGAATCTCAAATAGGTCAGTTCAGCACATGCCACATACATAGCAATTACCAGAGGAAATTGTCAAGAATAAGACTAGCATAGATTGTAAAACAGGCTTTGCAAGCAAACAGTAGATTTGGTACTTTTTTTTTTTTTGCATGTAAGGAACTAAATACAGTATTTATTTCTACTATAAAATAAGCACAAATCCTGATAATTATAAAATCTTAAAATACTTCATCACGGATTAGTAACAAAGTTCTTCCTTGAACCTCTAATAAAATCACTCCTTAAACTGGATTTAATCATCCAAGATGCCTATAGATCTTTCCTTCTGCAGATTTACTATAGCATAAACTGAATATCATTGATTAGAATTCACTTATTCAGAAGCATGAAATATTAATTTCAGTTAGGAGATATATGTAGGTTTAAAAGTAGAAAATGGTAAACAGTAACAGTATGAGTGATCTCTCTCTCCCTCTCCCTCTCCCTCTCCCTCTCTCTCTCTCTCTCTCTCTCTCTCTCTCTATATATATATATATATTATATTGCAGCAAGTGAGTGGACATGAAGATAAAGCAGGCACCCAGTTGTGTTGAACAGTTTGATTTTTGTGATTCTGTCCTTAAATGCACAAGTTTTATCTGAGAGCTGTAGATGACAGAAAGCTATTTCTTCACTTTTCTGAATCTATATGTAGCCACACCAGGAAACCATGTGGCTTTGTCAATCTCTTTTACATTTCATAATTTAGGAATGTGAATTTAAATGTATGTGAAGCATAAAGAGCTGGAATAAATGTGGCTCTTTTATGGTATTCATCTTTAGCCACTTAATCAAGTGCCGTGTTTGTGTTGTTGCAAATTCTCTCTCTCTATATATATATATATATATATATAGAGAGAGAGAGGCATAAAGAGCTGGAATAAATGTGGCTCTTTTATGGTATTCATCTTTAGCCACTTAATCAAGTGCCGTGTTTGTGTTGTTGCAAATAGATATAGTGATCAGTCAATTTCTTATATAAGGTGTTGCATGTCAATTACATGAAGAAACAATGACCCTGGTATATGAACTTACATGTCTTGGTGAAATTTCTCAGATTCCTCAGTTCCACTGATTAAGTGCCACTGGTATATGTCAGGTTGAGAAGAAATGTTGGGAATAAATTTAAAGGCATCAAATGATAGAAAGCAATACAGTTGCTGAGCACCATATGTTCTGTCTTCTGCAGGACACCCATTGAATGTGACTGTCAACAACTGGGGTTATTCAAATGCCCTCTTCCTAACCTGGGAGTATTTCTTGGGAGGTGCCCAGGGCTTCTCATTAGCTCTTTATGACTTGGACACAAATACTCTGCTACAGAATGGATCAACTGCACTCAATACCACCAGCTTCAGCTTTCAGGGTTTGCTTCCTGGGACACAATATATTATTGAAATCACTGCATTGCTCGCATGTGCACATAATTCCAGTACGAGAATCACTGGGCAGACAGGTAAGAAAGAAGTTTATAGCTTGGGATCATTTTCAGCAAATGTGTACTTGGCTATATGGGAATTGCCTTCCTGCATTTTCATTCAGACGTTCAATGTTCTGTCATGTCATCAAGCCACAATAACCAAAACTAATCACACAAAATCAAATCATATAAGTTCTGGGCGCATCCCTTGGAATTGTATGAATAGTAGTGTCTAAGTCAATGTGAATACAAGAAACTTTACCACAAGTGGCCTAGAAAATTTATCACAGCTACTTAGTTCGAAACTTCAAGGTATATGTGTAGAGGAAAGGTCATTATTCCATAATCCATTCTCAGTTGTTGCCTTTCATTAGCAAAACCTCTGAATTTGGAAGACAAAAATGATAGGTTGTTTTTGTGCTGTAACACTGTTTTCATTAAGACCTCGTTCAATTTTTAAATACTGTACTTCAAAACAATTATATACATTAGAATAAAGCTCACATACAAGTTAATTAGTTTGTTTTACTGCCTGTTTCATGATTTTTCATGTAGGCAATATAAACGTATTCCTCCAAATCTGGATAGACTTGCATCTTACACAACAAAATGCTAGTTATTTTTTCTTTCTAGCCTGTAATTTGTATTTTCAAGTGCATATGGAAATAAACAAAGGCACACTGATATGTAGCCCATCCATGTGACTTACACAGAAGACAGATGTAATTGTGTGGCGATAGTGCCAGAATCTGCAGTATGTTGGCAGCAATGTCAGCTCAGCATTGTTTTGCAATAGACTGTTCCTCGTATGGCAGTGCCATAAGCCCTGCAACGTTCTGACAATGTCTTTGTGGACATTGGAACTGTAGAAGCCACTCATTGCAAAGGTAGTTCATAATTTTCTGTTGGACCATCTGATGTGGGTGATTGTTACAGACAAACTATATAGAACATTTTGTTGCATAGGCAGGTGCTCTTCAGGCTTATAATAATCTCAGAAAGGTGCATGTGCTCATTAGTAGAAACTTGCTCAGTGATTTTTTTTTTCCCGACAAATCCTATTTTTAGTGTGATTCCGAGCTTTCATTGTCAAATTGCAGGAGAACACAGAGAGAGTAACACTGCAGATAATTTTGAGAAAGTATTTGAAATGTCTGGCAACAAAATGGAAAATAAGCTGCCTATTTGCATATAGATTGCCATACATGAGACTATTTGCATATAGGTTGAGAATGTCATTGTCCAGTCCTAGATGCATTGAAAGTACCTTCTTTCTCAATAATTATCCTTAGGCTCTCATCGTCCAGCTTTCTTCTTTTTTGTCAAACTGCAAACTCAACGCTCACATAAAATTTGGGTGTATATAACATGAGGGCTTCCGATATAGGCTTGCGGATCAATGAACAGTGTAACATGTTAGTATGGATGCCTTCTCTCATTGGCAAAGTTATTGTTTGAATTTATGTCTTTTTTTTAAGTACCATTACCTGTGCGGGATGTTACCTTGAGTCACGAAAGCCCCTCAGTGTTATTGGCCTCCTGGAGTGAACCCCCAGGTGGGAAAGATGGGTACCAGTTGGTCCTCTACCACATAGACTCACAGGCTCCTGTCAAGAATGCAACCATTGCTGGAGGCACCACCACTTTCCGCTTTGAAAAGCTTTTGCCAGGCAGTGAATATGCCCTCCGTATCACCACATGGGCTGGATATTACAAAGCAAGCACCAGTGCACGAGACTGGACAGGTACTGGGAAATTGGTAGATTGACCCATGGGCTAGAGAATAAAATCAGTTCTATGGAGGTGAAAGTGTCAGCAGAATCCATCCAGCTCTAGCAATAGGCCCCTGTTACCTGACTGTTCATATATGTTTCATAAATAATTTGGGGGTAGGAGTATAGACAGTAAGTAGGCATTATTGAGCCAGACTTGGTAAACCCATCAGAAGCTCATGAAATAGACATCCAAATATCTATTTCATCTTCTTCGGGCAACAAACAAGACAGGATCTTTTTCACTTCTTTTGAAGCAAAAGAACACAGTTTGAGGTACATCTGAAAGCTTTGGCTGCAGAGCTGTTTCAAATCGTAGTGTTAAATGACACAAGAAGGAAACAGTTGAGTCTAATGAGATATAAGTAAGTGAAATATATTTCATTTCATTAATTTTAACTTAGTTCAGTTTAAACATCAACAGAATTAAACCAACTTTCATTTTTGTCTGAGCCAAACCAACCAACCCGAAACATACCACTCACAGGCCATCTTGGTCTAGAGAAGCTATATGTGAGTAGACAGAACTAAAAAAAAAACACTCTGTGGCTCAGCTAGTTTATACATTTCTTTATAAGATAGTACAGTTCCATATTCCCAAGACGAATTCATCAGAACAGGCTGGTTGTTTCCATTGGTTTGTAAGAAAGATGAATTCCTTTAAGGAGTGATGTCTCTCTCTGGCTCTCTTTTGTCCCAACAGCCCCCGCTGCTCCCAAGACATTGACGTTCCAGAACAACAATTCCAGCTCCAGTTTGATTGCCTCATGGACTAACTCAGAGGGAGCAGAATGGCTGTATTTCACTCTCCAGAACCTGCATACCCCTGCTGACAGCAGGACAGTGTCACTTCGGAGAGGCCTAACTAACTACACCTTCCAGCACTTAGAGCCAGGAACACCCTATCACCTGGATGTTAAGGCTGTGTCTGGGCCTTACCTGGTTAAGGGTCCCAATATAACTGCTTATACATGTAAGTATGCAGCAATGCTTACAATACTTGGAAGGTGGGCAGGCCCTATGGAGTCAGATGGATTAAGAATGAAGTTCACCTGTGTGAGAATGAAGAGTTTCTATTCTAAGAGGCCAAAAGCTTTATCTACCATTGTTTCATAAGGATAGCAAATACTCTCTGTATGAACAAGTGGAATTTTTAGGCTGGTCATAGAAACAGACCTATGGTGCTTGTTCTATACTCATGTTTCCCTAGTACAGGAGAACCTCCAGATTTGTCTTTTTGTATAGGTAAATTATATACATTTTGTTTATGTAGTCACAACTTTAGAATTTCAGAAAGCTAACTGGATGTACTTTCATTCAGATTATCTTCTGCAGCTGATGGTTTAATTTTTAAAGCAGATGGTCCCTTCAGATCTTTTTGCCTAGTGTTAAGAAGCTGTCTCTGTGTTCTAATATTTTTCTTGCAGAATTTGCAAATCCTGATATTTTGTTACTTTTTCCATTTGTTTTTCATCAGTGTGACTATCTCCTGGTATCGCTACATCTACGAACCACACTTTTTTCTTTTCAATAATGATAATGTCTGGTGTGTTGTGTTTCAGGTATCTGTTAGTCTGTATTTTAAAATCCCACAGGATCTCAGCTTCCTCATTTTCTAACACTTTTTCAGGTGTGTAATCTCAGTAGTCAATTTTTTTGTTCGCATTATTATTAATGGACATTGGAGATGTCTGCCTTCTCAGGTGACATCTGTGTGGCTTGTTTGAAGCTTCTGGTAGCAAGGCTATTCCCATCACAGCTCTCAGCCTCACTGAAGCAGAGAGAATGACCTTCAAAGGGGAATTGTTGTTGTTATTTTACTTCCTTTGCTGGAAATCAATATATTGCAAATTGAGTCTTTTGTCCCCTTCTAATCTTTATATGCAAAGGGACTATGTTTATTTCCTTCTTTGAAGTCTGTATTTCCCCTACATCCATTATGTTTTTTATTAAAACTATTTCACATTTTTTCTGCATATTGGATTAGATTCATGTTCTAAATATATCCTTATCTGAGCAATCCAGAGCAGAAAAGATCCATCCTGATTGAGTATTCAGCTGGATATGGTTTAGAAAAATATGCAAGTCCTCTGTTTAGTACTGACAGTATGTCTTCTATCATAGGACTCCACTGTGCTAAGTAGATCTTCTACTTTATCTTCAGGGATGAGAGAGAACCTGGAAGTATGTGAGCAGTTGAGGATTTGAAGAGCTATGGTTGATTGATTGATTGATTGATTGATCAATTGATAGATCTTTAGAATGTTTATATAACAATAGATTCTCTCTGTGTGTGAAATAAGGGAGATGTATGTTCACATTCTACACAAGACTTGCCCTGTTTATTGAAGTGTATCTTTTATCATCAGTAGCAATCACTGATTGTTTGGTGGAATTATGAACATTATGACCCAACACATATGGAGGGTACCTGGTTGGGCATGGTTAATCAGAATTATTTCTGAGTAGTTTATTATTAATGTTGATCCTTCCCTTCATCTTTTCATAGACCCCCTAAAACCAGCCAATGTAAATTTGATCAACTATGACAGCAGTAGCACTTTGAAAGCTTCATGGAACTCAGCAGCTGGTGAAAGAGAATACTATTTGGTGATTCTGCAGAAAGGAGACAGCAGCATTATAGTCAGAAACATATCAGCGGGGGGGAACAGCACATATGTCATCTTTCAGGATCTGGCCCCTGGAAGCCACTATACTGCCTGGGTTACAGCTGTTGCTGGGCCCCATAAAGCAACTGCAAAAAGCATCTCTGCCTGGACTTGTAAGTAAGAGCTGAAGTTTAGATCTTACAGGAAGAAAGGAGGGAAGTGATTGCAATGTAACCTCTTAAATACCTGCCTGGGAATGTTTGATTTGAGGGGGATGCTGGTTGAGGGAGGTAAATATACATTTTCTTCCACTGAAATTGGCCTCCAGGATGGTGGGGGTATACAGATAGTCTTCGAGTTATGACCATTTATTCAACAACTGTTCGAAGTTACGATGGTGCTGAAAAAATGGTTTTACGACTGGTCCCTGAAGTTACAGCCATTGCAGTGCCCCCATGGTCACGTGATCGCAATCTGGGCACTTGGCAACCCATTCGCACATGTGACTGGTTGCCAAGCACCCCGCAATCACATGATCGCCATTTGTAACTTTCCCTGGCTTCCCACGAGCAAAGTCAATGGGGAAGCTGGCAGGGGAGATCACAAGTCATTTGAGTAAGTCTCCCCCACCCACCCTGGCCTTTCTTTGCACGCACTGCACCTTCCTTCCCCTTCGCTCACTCACACGCACCGACACCCTCCTTCTCCTTCACTCACTCGCATGCACCAGCGCCCTCCTTCCCCCTTTGCTTGCTTGCACCCCCCAGTGTCCTCCTTGCCCTTTGCTCACTTGGGGGCCCTGAGTGCGTTCAGGGCCCTTTTTCTTGACTATATTGATACCTAAGGTTATAATTTTCTCGCCATCCATCCATCCATCCATCCACCCGCACATATTAATTTTAATGTTATGTTAGTATTGGTTTTAAATGTTTTTATGACTGTTCACCGCCCAGAATCACTTGTCTGAAATGGATGGCTATAGAAATTGAAATAAATAAATAAATAAATAAACCTGAGGACTACCTGTATTGTGGAGTGGGAAGCAAGAGCCCCCCCCCCAAAAAATGATGAACTATTTTAGAGTATATTCTAAGTTTCCTTGTGTTTTCAAAATCAAAATGGGAAAATGTGGTCTTGATTTTTGGCAGTTACAGGAGGAGGGAGCTCAAGAAATTGCAACCAAGGGGCTATAAGTTGTCAACCTCTGCTGTATTCCAATCAATTGCTATGATGATGGTGGACAGAGATGGCCAGATAACATCTGTCTAGTTTGAAATTACAGTTAGGTGTGGGACCAAATAATCTCCCCTGAACTCTAGTAAGGAGAAGGAGAATGGAAGTGTGATCTGAATAGCGAAATGACAGGACAGACGGCCATTACTGGCTTTGTGAGGAGGTATTTTTTGTTTCATTCTGCCATTCCTCAGACCACAGATTCCCATCTTGGATTGTTCCAGATCTTCTATAAGAAAACTGCTCAGCATTCTGGTTCTTTTTTCTCCCTTTCAGATCCCACAGCCCCATCTAGTGGGAATCTGTTGAATCAGGGCAGTGCCTACACGCTTCAGGCTCATTGGCAAGAGGCAGCTGGGACTGGTTATGTGACAACATTATATACTATGGAGCCCCTCATTGTGTCGCAAAACAGTTCGTTACCTAAGCAGTCTTCCAGCCAACTTTATGAAGGATTAAGACCAGGCACTCGATATGCCTTGGAGATCTGCACTGTTGCAGGCCCCCACACTTCTCTACCCCTCCATCTCAGCAACTGGACACGTGAGTGTCAGGAGAACTCTTCTGTCATGCACAGAGTTACCAGGGCAGGGCACTGATAGTGCAAAACATGGAAAAATTCTGCATCGGTGCAAAAAATGCAGCTCACCAGCATCCTTTTTCTGTTCAAAGTATGCCTATTTACATACATGCATATTCATTACATATATATAAATAGAACACACATATGCAAAATATTTCAATATTGAAGTACAGTATTAAAGCTTTAAAAAACCCGATACCCTCAAATGACTACAGACACAGCTCAGAACAGTAGTAGTAATTACAGAAGAACTAAAGCGGGTTCATGGCACACCTCAGGGGAATTAGGATCCCTATTAAACTGACCATGTTACTAGATCAGGAAAATTAGGATCATGCACAAACACATTAAATATGAAAAAGGCAGTAATTCAGCAAAATCAAGGGAAAACAGTGTTTGAATTTGAGAGAAGATTTGTCTAGAAAACTATCTGTAATATTTCTAGCAAAGGTGTGTATTTAAATATTTTTACAGGTGAAAGTTATAAAAAAGAGAATAGGAAAGCCAAGGATAAACCAGCATTTGAGATGAGATGGAGAAAAGGAAGGCAAAGAGTGACCTAAAAGCAGAGCTGAGAAATAGTTCCTTTCTAGGGAAGGAGTTGAGGAAAAAGAATGGCTGCAACATCCATGAGGGTTCACAGGGAAAACTTACAAAAAGGACAGAGAAGAAATTAATTGTGGAATTCTTGGTGTTCTCTGAGCTTGCAGATATTTCATTGCCCAACTAAGTAACAACACTGATGATGTCACCTGGTTGGGTAATGAAACGTCTGCAAGCAAACAGCCAAGCTCAGAGAGCACCAAGGGCTCCACAGTTCAAGTCTGAGCTATAGATATTCTCTTCTGTTGAAAGAAATTAATTGTATGGACCAGTGAGGAGAAACAGGATTTAATACAAAAGTGTATCTACTCTTGTCTGCTGGTTTGGGTGCAGTGGTAACTGGCTTAGCTGAAGAAAGGGGACTGAGAGAAAGAAAAAAGGGATGGGGGGGTGCTCAGTTGAGTGGCGAGTATGAGGATGCTGCCTGGGTGACAGAAATTCTTCCCCTCCGAATCCTTGAAATTCTTTTACCCAAGCACATACGTATACCCCACCACACAGAATTTAGTAAATGAAAAGGAAGCAAAGTCAAGTACTCACTTCCAAAAAGAAGAAAAATTGAAAGTTGTTTTTCTTTCTCCTTCCTGAATTGTGGTGAGGGGCAAGAATTAGGCAATTTTTTAGCATAATCCATTTTGATCAGTGAGTGACACTGATTTGGCACATCAGCAGGAAGTAACAGGTTGAACCCCAAAATTACACATGATTCCAGAGTCTCAGGATTTACAGCCTTTCTTCCAAACTCAACATCAGAAAAATAAGTATAGACATTGTGTCTGTGTATATGCATCTACACAATAAAACTAAGAAACCTATCCTCGTGGCTTGAATAGGAAGGTTAAAATCAGTATAGATGATTTGGTTTGGGTCTTGGTGACAACTTCTCTACCTTAACCCTTATGCAAGAGCTTACAGCCATACTAGCATTAATGAGGAAGGGTGGAAATATTAAAAGAAAGCAGTAGAACCCACCAAAGGTACTTGCCACAACTCATGCACATCTGTCCTGCTGATCAAGAGAGGCTTCTCCTGTTCCTTTGCCAGACTGGAGCCTCTCCTTTTAACTGCAGGCTATCATTTACAAAATATGTGGGAGCTTTCTAACAGCAGAGCCCTTTCCCCCAAGTGAGGGAGGCCAAAACATTTGGCTTTTAGTTTTTTTAAAGTAAGGATTTCAGGTGAGCCAAAAAGAATGTCTCAACTCTTGCAGAGAGTTCTTCACCTTCTTCACCCCTTTAAATACTTCCACCCTCACCCCTTTCCAGTCTTGAAATGTGCCCCTTGACCTCCCTTTTGCTGACAGAATTGTGCACTTTCGTTCTAGTAAGTATGGCCTCTTCTAATATGGCAACACAAAAGCTGATTTGATTTTTTAAACTTCTAATGTAATTCTTAAAAGCACAGGAGCTCACATAAGATCTGAGTTTGGCAGTCCATAATTTAATATTACAGAGGGTGATGAAAACACAGATAGTGCCATAATTATTATGCCTAGTAGACTTTATGCATGGATTAGATTTTTTTAAAGCAGCTATAGGGAGAACATGCAATCATTAGCAGGTTATTTTTGATGAAGGCTCTGATGCACAGTCTGTTCCACTGACAAGTAGGATCCAGGCCTGTCTGAGAACCAACTAGTCTTGGTTTAGGCTTCTGTGCTTCCTTCAGGACACATGTTAACTAGTTTTAATTTCTAGGTAACTGTTTAGGAAATAACTTTAGTCAATTGTAAGTATTTGCTTATACTGTAAAATCTGTTTGAAATTTGTTCCTTTCTCCTTTCAGATCCTTTGCCTCCGGACCACCTAAAACTCAACAATGATGGTCACAGAATGAGGTCACTCCATGCTTCTTGGCAGAATTCTTCCAAAAGCGGAGGCTTCTATGTAGGAGCTCTCCTGGAAACCAAATCTCAGTTAGTGATAAAAAATGTGACCCTGGCAGAGGCTAATATCACCTTTGAAATGCTAATCCCAGGACGTCAGTACACTCTGAAGTTGGCAAGAGTGGCTGGACCATTTCAGTCTCATGTTCAGATTGTTAGTGACTGGACCTGTGAGTATGCTGCCATTCTCAGAAAAAGTAGTAGAGCAAGCAGTCTTCTCCAACATGGCACTTTTCAGTTTTGATCAACTACTGATCCATCATCCCAACCCTCTATTTACCGTACTGGTTGGGGATACTGGGAGATATAATCCAACTCATTAAAGTATTGGGTTGATGAAGGGTTGCAGCAGAGGATTTCCCCAATAAATCCTGTCCTTGTTTCATTTTAAGTGAGTCTATATACCCACAAGTAGAAAATGTATTAGCAAACATACACGTCTCATTGAAAATAAAGAGAGGAAGAAGAAAAGCAGAGGTAGAAATGGCAGGAAATTTGTGAATGTGAATTTTGTGAGAACCTGGCCTGATTTTTGCTGAAGCTTGATCTGATTTAAGATGGTAACTGCATTTCATCCAAGTTCAAGATTCCCCAAGATTTCAGATTCTGTATTGGACTTTTAATTCTGTAATTTGTTCAAACATTAATTATATCATTTTAATTCACATTAATGGGTTAATAGTATTTTAATTTGCATTAATAGTTCGCTGTCATCTAGTGATGTCTGGATGTTTGCAACCCAGATACAGTACCCCTAATAAATTCAATCAATGACTCTCGTAGATGTGATCTTTAATATTTTTATTAATTGCTCCAAGATAAGCCACTTTTTTACTTGGAACATCTTTCCTTCCACATAACATCTGTTCTTGTGTCTGAACTCTCCATCCTGGAATGGTACTAGTTAGTAATAGATAAACTTGTTAACTTTCAGACCCTTTGGTTCCATCAGGAGTGATGCTGGCCAGTAGCAGGTGGTCCAGCAGTCTTGTTGCTTCTTGGGACCGACCTCTAGGTGACAGAGACCAGTTCTTCCTGCGATTCTACAGTCTGGAGCAACCTTTGCAGAGGAACATCACAATTGGGCCAAGCATGCTAAATTTTACCTTTGAGGGTCTTCAACCTGGCAGTCAATACTTATTGGAGGTTACAGCAATGGCAGGACCATACAGAGCTTCAGCTCAGGTGGTTTCTGCATGGACATGTGAGTATTCAAATGTGTTTCTGCAAATAATGAGACCCTAGTAGCTGAGACTTTCCTGAACTGACAGCTTTTATTGGAGATTTACATGTCAGTAAGGCTAGGAATAAATAGAGTGACGTATAAATTACTCATGCAGATGCTATGGCAATATCCTTGCTCTCACTTGACAAATTATAGTAATCTTCCACTCCCACTGAGCTGCAAAAGGAATTTAGCATTTATCTTGTTACTGGAGGAAGCAGTTTTGGTGGTCTTATGCTTGTGGAGTAGGAACTTTTTAACAGCCAATGAGTGTATTTAACTAAAAATGTTTTTGATGTTATAGCTATTGCAGTGTCACCCCCAAGTTCTTCTGTGCTGCCTGTATGGGGTGTTCCTGGGAGGGATGAGTGAAGAATGCCAGGAGTGCATACCAAGAGTATATTACCCAAGCAGGGTCACCCAAGGCGTGAAGGTCATCCCAGCTGCCCAGCTAAAGCAAGCAGGCACTTATACTGGGCAGCAGTAATATAGGGAAATACTGGAAGTTCACTTCAGTGACAACAGCAAAGGAATCATTTCATACTGCATGGGAGAAGGAAATTGTAAATTAGTCCTACATTTTACCAAAAGTGATTGATGATACAGTGTTCCCAGGTATTGGGATGATGAAATGATGGGTCCCTCAGGTCAGATGGCATGCAACATGCTACTGAAGAATTGCTGAGAGACTTTTGGAGTACTAATGGTGTTTATAACGTGGCTAAATTAAAACTTTTGGGATGTCAGGATCATGCTGCCATGCAGAAAAAAAACCTGCAGAGACAGAATTACAATGGGAACGTGGAATGTAAGAAGCAGGAATATGGGAAAGCTCAACACCATGAAAAATGAATCAACTACTTATTGAGATCTTAGGCATCAGCAAATTGAAATGGAATTGGATACTCAGAATATCATAATGTTTACTACTCAATACAGTATGTGAATACAAAGAAGGAATAGGGTTGCTTTCATAGTCCGAAGGATATAGGAAGAATAATGCTTGGGTATAATGCAGTCAATGATTTAGTAATGTCAATTAGACTTTGTGGACAATCCTTTAATATGAAGGTTATCCAATCTTGAACTGGTATATTAAAAGTCACTAATGGACAGACAGTAACTGATTCAAAGAAGATTAAATAAAGATGAAAGGAGTATACTGAAATTCTATATGGTAAAGATGTCAACTTCCAAGCTACCTTAGAAGATATTCCCTATTTACAAGACCTCTAGTACTGGAAGGTAAAGTTAAACCAACACTCCGATAATTATCAATTCAGAAGGCTACAAAAATAGATAGAATGTCTACATATGTATGGCAAGCCACAGAAGAATCAGTAAAGTACCAAACTGTGCCAACAAATCTGTAGAACAAGACAGTGGCCACCACATTGGAAAAGGTCAGTCCGCATGCCAATACCAAAGAAAGGAGCAAGACCAATGCTAGTCTGCATATCAGTACCAAAGAAAGGAGTGAGTGTGCAAACCATCACACGATATCCTTAATTTCACATACTACAAAATAATGTTTAGGATTATCCAACACAGATTAGAGCGCTACATGGAAAAGGAGATCGCAAAAGTTCAAACTGATTTTTATGATTAATACAGTTTAGAAAAGGCCAAGGAACAAGAGATAGTATTGCTGATGCTGGATAACTGAGAAAGGAAAAAAAAAAACCCTAAAAAGTCACTATATGTTTCAATGATTATGGAAAAGCCTTTGATTTGTTGACGATGTCAATGGAACATCCTTAGGAAAATGGGAATCCCAGAACATCTCATTGCCTTCATGCGTAACACACAGGACAGGAAGCTACAGTCCAAACTGAATATGGCAAAACAGAATGCTCCAGATCAGCAATGGCATAAGACAAAAGCGTAAGGCAAATATTCTATTTATTTTTTCAACCTATATGTTTAATATACAGCCACTCCTCATTTAGCAGCTACCTCATTTAGTGACCATTTGCAAGTATGATGAAGATAATAAAAAAAAATAATAAAAATTCATTTTCCAACCAATGCAGGCATTTACAACCAAATTTTCTGCCTCTGACAAGAAAAGCCTTCAGTGTGAAACTGATTATGGTCTGGTCAGTTTCAGGCAGCAGCCCCTCCCACCCCCCCATAAAGTAATTAAGATAGCTTGTTTAAGCAATCCACCCTGTGAGGGGCAAAAAAAGGAAGAAAAAAACCCAGGTCAGGCACAGGACACTGTATGAGAGAACTTCAGTTGAATGAGAAGGCAGCAACCAGTGATCTTCACAGCATCTCTCTCTCCCTCCCTCTCTCTCTCTCTCTCCCTCTCTCGTATTCACTTAGCAACCATTTCGCTTAACAACCAAGTTGTGGAACCGAATGTGGTCACCAAACAAAGAAAGGCTATACATTGAGGGAGGCTTGATTGGAAGAATATGATATGGTTTTAAAATTAGAGGATGAAATACCAATAGCCTGAGCTATGCTGACTGTTCTGTGATAGCTGAAAATGCAAATAATCTGTAAGCACTAGTAATGAAAAGCAAGGTAGTGTAGTGAAAAAAAGGGATTATAATTAAATATAAAGAAGACCAGACTCATGACAACAGCTATAGCAACCAGCCTTAGAATTAACAATGAAGACACTGCAGTGGTTGATGCCTTTTAGGTTTGTTGCAAACGAGTACTTGGTAGGACAACAATGAAGGCCTAAGAAAATATATGCATATGCTGTGATATGTCTATACATACAAGGATTAGAATTGTACAGGCATTGGTTTTTCTGGTGAAACATGGAGTTTGAAGAAGCAAAATAAAAAGAGTATTGCTTCTTTTGAACTTTGATATTGGAGAATACTCTTGAGAATACCATGGATAGCCAAGGGAAAAAAAGGATCCTAAAACAAATCAATCCAGTGTTCTCACTTGAGGCACAAATGACCAGGCTCAAATTATCATATTTTGGATACATTATCCAAAAATCCAACTCCCTTCAAAAGTTTATAATGCTAGGAAATGTAAAAGGAAAGAGAAGAAAAGGATGAACAACAGCAGGGTGGATGGACTCAGTTACAGTGGTTACGAGTCCACTGTTGGGAGACCTGAAGGTCCAGGTTGGACATAGATCATATTGGAGGTCTAGCTGCCTGGTCACTAAGAGTTGACACCAAGTTGATGGCACATAATCAATCAATTGCAGTGATTGATTGGTTGGTCATTTTAATTTTGTTTTCTTTGTAACAAGTCTTGGAAGGCATCTTTATCTAAGAGTACAATGTAAAGCTAATAAATAAATGAAATATATGATACTTGATTTTTTCTAGATTTTTTAAAATTATACACAGGTTTTATATCCTGCTATTCTGACCATCATCATGCTTTATGCTTGTGATATTTTGGACTTCATTTCCCATACTGGTGTTTGGAGCTACAGCCCCTATGAGACCCAGCCAATACGTTAGTTGCTGGGGATGGTGGACAACTAATCTAACATTAATTTTGTAATATCCCTGGAATCTTTATAAGGGCCATATATGTATTTGCTACCAGGTTGCCAACTGCATGTTTCATGTTGATTTTGGAAGTGTAATTAAAATTGGATTGAATGCTGTAGAACTGGGAAGCCTGCGGCCTTCCGGTTGTCCTTGCAGAACTCATGGTGACCACAGAAGCAGAGTAATAATGACGAGTACTAGGAATTGTAATCTAGTTAGCTCACCTCTGCTCTACTGTCATCTGTCTCACTAACTTATGACAGGTATCTTTTCATGTTCATATGTGATAGCATTAAGATTATATTTAATTAATATTTTGCAATTCTGCTGGAGTATATCCAGCTTTGCAAAACCTTGAAAAGAGGAACGAATCCAAGATGTCACAGTGCTGGTGAATACCAAAGTTCCACTGATGCTAAATTCTTCTGTAAATCAGCTGTTGTGAGGTTAATTCATCATGCCTGCCTTTTTCTAAAGTCTCACTGGGATGTGCTGACCTTTTTTACCGCTATAGATCCTCTATCTCTGGCAAATGTGAGTGTGAAATGCAGCCAGAACCCCCAGCAACTGATTGTGAGCTGGATGGAATCAGGAAGAGGACGAGGATATTGGGTACAGCTCTATTCAGAAGAATCCTTGTCCATTATCCAGAATGTGTCTGTACCACATGGAACTACACAGGTGACTTTGGATAACCTGGTGCCAGGAACTCGGTATCGTGTTGAGATTGTCTCCAGAGCTGGACCTCACTACGTTTCTTCACAAACAGCCATTGGCTATACAGGTACAACGTAGGACTCTTTCTGCCTTTTCTCCATTCTGTTTATTCTGCCTGAGATAGCTTGGGACTGCAAATTTTCCAGAGGGATCTACCTCCCATTGCTGGTTTGTACAGAAAGAGCCACAGTGGCTAATGTTTCTTGTCAGTACCACATATTGGTGAGTTATGAGTGAGATATTAAGAACTACATGATCATTGGTTCCATGCTTTCTCTCCCTTGCCTTTTGAACTTGCACCCGTACTATACCATGTCATGAACTATTTTAGAGAAGGCTGGATGGCCATCTGTTAGGGATGTTCAATAATTACTCCCTAATTTACAGATCCTGCATTAAGTAGGGGATTAAACTAGATGGGCACCAATATCACTTTTTGATACTTATCCTTAAACCTTTGGAGATTTCTGTTCTTTGCATTGTGGTCAACCCGCTATTTACTTTTTGTAGGATTTTTTAGAATGCTATATTATAATGCCATGTTATTTGTTTATTATCAAATTTACACCCTCCCTTCCTGCTTATATAAGCACTCAGAGCAGTGTACAACAAAATATAAAGCAAAGACAATAAAATCAGAACAATTAAGATAAAATTTTAAAACAATATCATTAAAATAATTAACAATTCAAAGCTTGACAATACACATTTTTGCTGTTTTCCTAAATAGTGGGTGAGGAACAAAATGGTCTTCTCTTGGGAAGACCATTCTATAGCATGGGAACCTCACAGTAGAAGGCTTTTTTCCCATGTACCAGATACTCAGACTTCTGGCAGTATCTTCAGATGGCCTTGCTGATCTAAGTAACCTGGCAGATTCATAATAGATAGGCCCTGAGCCTTTTAGGCTTTTAAAGGTCAAAACCAATTTCTTCAATTATAATCAATAAGCAACTGGCAGTCAGTACAGATTTTTCAGCACAGGCATCGTGTGATCTCTGTACTTTGCACTTATTACCTTGCACTGACACATTTTGCACCAATTGCAATTTCCAGATATTTTTCAAGAAAATCAATGTCAATTTGTTTATTTATTGTTTTGACCATGGGTCATAACAAATAAGGTAAAACCTGTACAAAAGTGGCCATACATTAATAAAATACATTAAAATATACAAAAATCAATAAAAACATTAAAATTGTATTATTACAACCAATAAAATATTAGAACACACTAGGAACATTTGATAAAATATTCTCTCTGCTTAGCAGCAGCCTGTGCAAAGCTTGCTAATTTCCATAGCAGTGTCTCCTTGTCTAAATTCATCAGATATTCAAATTTAAATAAATCAGGCCAAAATGTTTTTTTTATCAAAAAGGGCTCCAGAAATTTTCCACATGCTGAAGCAGAAATAGGGCAGTACAATAAATAATGGGTATCTATACAGTACTTTCCTTGGAACAAGGGCAGAATCGCATATTATATGGGATATTGTGAAATTGGCCGTCTCTAGTTGCTGATGCCATTTGCTGGAACGATAAGTGCTTCTTGGAGGGATGGCACTCTAACACACCTCAGATAATGTTTGCATTTGATTTTGGTTTTGTTAAGTGCATGCTAAGGGGCAATTTTATTTTGTGATAATTTAAACAAATTTCTTTGGGCAAAAACATCCAGAACCCTGTTTTTAAATAATAGACTATTCAGAAAGAATTCTGTGGAAAAAACAAAGGTATAAATGGATAAAAATGTAAACCAACTGGTGCAAGAAGGAGTGGAGAAATTCATTTGTTCCAGGAGGCGCTGCTTAACAAGTTGGGAATCCATTTGTTCGAGGAGTCTCGCCCAATAATTAAATATATATATATATATATATATATATATTTCCCAAGAATAGCCCCATGTAGTCATGCATTGAAGTAATCAAGGCATAGATAACCACTATCAGATTTGACTGGCTCAAAAAACATCACTAGTTTGTAGTTATACAAACATGCTGCCACTTACAAAACCAGTGACACTTGGGGCTTTCCCAAAATGTAAATCTGTTCTTTCTAGGGAGAGTGCACCCCCATCCAAAACAGTCTTCACCTCAATTCCCAAACCCAATTGTCTCCTTATCAGTAACATCTCCTTTTTCACCTTGTTCTTCATCAAGCTCATTATCAAGATGAGGCAACATTCAAGGATACTGATTTCTTCCTAGTGTTACATGGTAGGGAGCAATAGAGCCGGATATCATCAGCATTCTAATGACACCCATTCCACAAACAGCTTCTCTCAGTGATGTCATGTAGATGTTCAACAGCGTCGGGAGCAAGATAGAACCACTTTCAACATTACTGGTCAATAACCTAGGTGTTAAACAACGGTTCCTGTCAGGTTCATCCCAAAGAACTCCAAGAGACAGTACAGGTCTAGTTCGATAGCTTTTATTAGCTTCCAACCACAGACAGAATC